GGTTTCAATGGGGGTGTCAGTGGGGTCAATGAGGGTTTCGGTCTAATTTTAGAGGGGTTTTGGTGGAGTTTCAGTGGGAGCACAGAGAGAGAGCGAGAGATATGGGAGCCGAGAGATAGAAGTCTATATGTGTGTCTTGGAAGAATATTCCACAGCCAGCCTTCCTCTGTGATTCTGGATGAAGACGATGAGGGGCTATGGAATGAGAAAAATGGCGCAAAAAAAAAAAAATATTGTTGGCTCCCCAGATAGAGCTAGTCGAATGAGAGTTATATAAAATGACTAGTGGGATAGCTAGTTTGGTGGAAGCAAATTTTAGGATTGGGCTAACTAAAATAATTAAGAAGAAATCTTTGGAGTTACTCTAATTATATAGATTGCACATGTCAATAAGGGCATGATGGTAAAATTCTGATAAAACATTGTGAAATGATTACTCATTAACATACGTGTACGATACGGGCACCAAATAATACTAAAGTATAGTCAAAAAAGGGTTAGATAAAGAATGAATTTTTCCTTAGACTTGTAGACGCCTTCATTGGATTGGGTTGAAGGAGTTTGGGGTTAAATTTTAAATCCTATCATATCCTATCCCACTTTTTTAAGCAAACACATCCTATGAGTATGATTTTTTTTTCTTTTGATTATATCCACCCAATATAAGTTTTTAAGCCTTGCCTATTATAGAGGCTCTTGTTGCTATTGGATTTGATGATGTCAGATGTCTTATCCCCATATATATAAAGAAGTTTTTTTTTGTAAATTAAACTTGTGATACCTGAATTGCAATGGTACATTATTGTAATTTACACATTTATTTGATCTACATCCTAAGAAAATTAATCAAAAAACGTTTAAACTATCACAAGAATTCATACAACAATATATCAAGAAATGGAAAAAAAATAAATAAAACTCCATGGACTTTGTATTAAACTAGCTTTATTATTCGTGTCAATTAATAATATAATTTTCGGATTATCCGTGTGAAGCTATTAATCTCCTTGATTCTATTGGTCACAGCATCTATAGAGGGTCGTTTATTAGGGTTCTCAAATGTACAACAAATTGCAAGTTGTAACATGAGAACCATTTGTTCCCCAACATTCTTGTACCTCAGCAGATCACTATCAAACACATCAATCACTGGCTTTTCTTGAAACATCAACCGAACACATTTAGGCAGATCAACCCCTTCATTCTTGGACAGGGCATCAATTGGGACCTTACCAGTAAGCAGTTCCAAAAGCAAGACACCAAAACTGTAGATATCGGACTTCTGAGAAATTTTTTTGCTATTTTTCAGCTCCGGTGCTTGATAACCAGCAATGAGGTTAGCTTTGGAGTGGGGTAAAATGAGTTGGTCTATCCCAAAATCAGACAGGTGGGCATCGTAATTGTCGTTGAGGATGATGTTGGATGACCTTATGTTTCCATGGCAAACATCAGGGCCTCTGGAATGGAGGTATTCGATGCCCTGGGCAACTCCGTAGGCGATTCTGCACCTTACTTCCCAGCCAAGTTGAGTCTTAGAAGCACCCCCATTTCCTGTGTGGACAAAGAGGTAGAAATCAGATAGCTGAACAAGCTCATTTTGTATTGCTGTATTTGTTTTTATTGTTAGTTTGTTAGTGTAATTGATTTATCATCTGTAATAATAGGTAATAATTTTGTCGATAAATTTGTAATTGTAAATCAAATGGCTTACCATGTAAGAGAGCAGACAAGCTTCCCATGGGAATGTAATCATATATAAGAACTGTTCCATGGTTGGTGCAATGGTATGCTCTAAGGGGAAGCAAATTTTCATGAACTCTCTCTCCCAATTTTTCAATCTTCTCTCTCTCAACCCCTAAAACATAATCAAATTTCAAGATTTTGACAGCAACAACCACCCCATCATCCAGGAATGACTTATAAGTGGATCCAAAGGTCCCCTTTCCCAGAAATTCAATCTTGGAAGTCAAGAGCTTATCCAAACCATACACTCTTTCACCCTTCCCAAAGAACACCAACCCATCTTTCCTATTATTCTCAGCTATGCTCTCTGCCATCCTTGTAACTGAACACCTTGATCTTCCTCTGATTTCACCAAAAAAGGGTGGTTTGGTGCACAAAGCTTTCACAACTACAGGGTTTGGGGAGGATCAGTCTTGCCCTGCATACGACGAAGTTATTCTTGCGACTCAAACTCTTGACGTACAAGTCACAACCCACCCTCTAATCTTATCTGGTTTCTCAGCTTCTCTTTATTTCACACTGCTATACCTTAACAATTAACAATAAATAGGCAAAGCACAACGTATACAATCCTTCAAGACTTGCCAGAAAGCTTCTTCCTCAGTCCTCTCTCTCCCATCTTTCTACGTATTTAATATCTATGCAGGATTTGGGTGATTACGTAATGGGAAAACAGTCACCGCGAGGAATCTTCCTCTCTATTCCAGTTTTTAATTTACTCAATTTGTTTAATTGACAACTTTCGTCCTCTTTTAGATGGTTCTTTGTTCTAATTAAAAAGTTCACTGAAAAGAATAATTAAAGAGTTTACGGCAAATGAGTCAAAGTGTTCATACACAAGTTGTCAATAAAGTAATTGCCCATCGTATCTGCCAAGAATTAGTTTTTAGTTAATAGTTGACAAAAAAAATAATATGTTCACATTCCTAGTGATTGTGTGAACAATCAATCAGTGGGTGTCCCAATCATTACATATTCTTTTTCACACTTCAATTCTTGTACAATCACAACGTAAAGTCGATGATTTTTATTTTTTATAACTATTAATCTTAAATATTTTAAACTCACAGTTACAGTCTAATACTCAAATAAACGTAATTACCCACAAACCAGATGCATCGTCAAACCCAACTTTTAATACTCAAATTCATGTAATTACCCACAAACCAGATGCATCGTCAAACCCAACTTTTATGTGATCAAGGAGACTAGAACAAGGTGAGTTAGGAATGATGGATTTGGTCCATTGTTGGCACCAAATACAATCTTTTGTGCATTGCTGGACTAACATCCATCAATGAAAATGTGAAAAGTCTTAAATATTTGAAGCATTCAACCTAATTGACTTTAGTTAATCAATCTGATGAATTATTGATGTGGATATTTTAAGTCAAATAAATGGTTCAAGTCATCCTTGTGCATGGTATCTAGAGTCATCTACCTATTATTTTCAATTACATTGACAAGTTCNGTGGATATTTTAAGTCAAATAAATGGTTCAAGTCATCCTTGTGCATGGTATCTAGAGTCATCTACCTATTATTTTCAATTACATTGACAAGTTCTTTGTCTATAGCTAAAATTCTTTTTTTTTTTGTTTTTTTTTTCAAATGTCAAGGATGTTTGAGTTAGCTTATGCATACCTTGACTAATCCCCTCTCCGAGCCGGTCAAAAACAGGTCATCTACCTTGACATTAGGGTATTTGTGAGAGATAAATCACTTATAGCCTGACTACAAGGGATTGCTAAATATTTTAGTCATATATGGGGATTTCTAAAAAAATTTGAGCTCGTTTTTTTACCACTTNCTGACTACAAGGGATTGCTAAATATTTTAGTCATATATGGGGATTTCTAAAAAAATTTGAGCTCGTTTTTTTACCACTTGAACTTGCCTTCGGTTATCATAGCCAAAATTCAGCATCAGTTTTCAGTTCCCACTTTGCCACCAGTAGCTGAGATGATAATCCTGGCCCAATATGGGGATTTCTAAAAAAATTTGAGTAAAAATTTTGTTTGTCCACAAGAATATTTTATATCAAATCAAACTTTTTATTTATATATTAGTTTAAATTAGAATAAAAATATGAGTCATTATTGGAGATGATAGTATGAAAAGTAAATAAGATTTTATAATCTCTCTCTTTCTCTCTAAAACAAACGCGCGCACTCTAGGTATACTCCCGTTCAAATAAAATCTTCCTCCATGGGCCAAAAAGATGTTTTATTTATGTATTTTGTTGATCGCAAATGCAAATCTATTCATAAATTGGCCTAGAAAAGAAGAAAATACTATGTGCTCAATGGGATGAAAGTACCACGTGGTGTACTAATAAAAAATTGTACATGTCTAATGAACAGATGTCGCCTATCTCCTAGTCAAATTTTTTATTTAAAAAAGTCAACTNTTGGTATACTAATAAAAAATTGTACAAGACTAATGAACAGATGTCGCCTATCTCCTAGTCAAATTTTTTATTTAAAAAAGTCAACTTCCGTGCCTTACAAACTAATTATGTTGCAAATTCTAATTGGGTGTACACACTAAATGGCATTGCCACCTGGTTCCTCATAAGCACCAAATATTTTTTCCTACAAGACAGTTTGAATTGCGAGAAAAAAGTTGCTGAACTCTTATATAGTCAAGTTTAGACATAAAATTATTCAAATCATAAGTCACCCTTGAAACTTCCTTCATTGTAAGTTATGTTTCATTTGTTTTGACGTAGTCACATAGCCCAAAGTCTAATACTACTGCTGACTTTAAGTTCTCCCTAGATAACAAATCTGCCTTTTCTGAACCCACAAGGGTTAGTTTAGTCTCGAATAAGGGCAAGAGTAAATCCATATATTCTGAGTTTCGGTGCTTTTAGTCATATATAATTTGAGTTAAATTGATTAGCATAATCTGTGCATGGTTGTAGGTATCTAAGAATTGCGTTTCAATCTCAGCAAATTTTGTTTCAACTTATCTTTTTACAGATTTTTTATCGGCCGACTAATATCATATAAAATTAATAACGTCATATCAACATTGCAGTTTACGCTGGTAAACAACTTGCAGGTCCACCATTCAAGGTCAAATTGATGTGTTCCAACCTGGCCAATTCAACCGGATTCGGGACCCCTCACTTTCATTTACAAACTGCGTATCCAAGTAAACGTGTTCACACAAACTCGTAGAAAATTGAACATCAGCCCCTAACCAACCACTAAATTGACTGAATAGATAAAAAACTCAATGGGAAGAGGAGGATATTGTGACCACCGAGTAGAGTGGTCCAGTAGGGTACTGGCTAAACTTCTCACCCTGAGATTGGAGGTTCGAATTTTAGAGTTCACATTAAGAGTCGGTGGTTAACCGCTATTCTAACTTAATTGGATTTGTTCTTAAGAGGAGTAACGGATGCAGTCTGAGGCCTGATAATTTCATCAGTGAAAGCCTATTAAGATGGTCTCTGGTTACTTTCTTTGCCCCATCTTTTTTTTCAATAGCTAAACCAAAAAAAAAAGAGTTTAGGATATTGAGAACAGAAGATAAATTTGACAAAGTAATACTANGCCTAGTTGGATTTGTTCCTAAGAGGAGTAACGGATGCAGTCTGAGGCCTGATAATTTCATCAGTGAGAGCCTATTAAGATGGTCTCTGGTTACTTTCTTTGCCCCATCTTTTTTTTTCAATAGCTAAACAAAAAAAAAGAGTTTAGGATATTGAGAACAGAAGATAAATTTGACAAAGTAATACTATAGGCAAAACGGATTCGGAATAGAGTGAGACCAATGTTGTTGGATCCGATTGATTCACAACAACCAATAATCATTTCTTTGCGATGTGTGATGCTGTTTTCGGCCCAATCCTATTGTTTGAGTTTTCAAATTGACATTTTTACTCGGGAATAATTAAAAAATTATAAGAAAGTAAACTTATAATTCGTTGTCCTCAATTTTTGTTAAACTCTGGACAACACGTGCTTTTTACTCCAATAGTTTTGAGAACGTTTACGATTTTGAATGTTACTATAAATTGTCCCTATCTACTACCAATTTTATTCATTAGTAACAGTATGCTTTCTCTTATCTTTATTATGGATTAAGGTATGAATGTTGTTATGTTTTTCGAATAGTTTATCAAATTATGAATATTGTTATGCTTTCCGAATAGTTTATCAAATTTCTTTATTAAATCAATGTGCAATATTGAATAAGGGGGGGGGGGGGGGGGGGGGGG